TCTCTCTCTCTCTCTCTCTCTCTCTCTCTCTCTCTCTCTCTCTCCCTTTCTCTTTCCTCCCTGTGGTACATCGCAGAGGTGGCTAGACTTCCGTCTCCCTGCGATCGTGTTATTTCCTTCGCGAGAAAATACGACCTCCAACGCGCGCGACCTCGCATCGCGACGCGTTATCTTACGTTTGATGCACCACTTGATACACTATCCTCCAGGGTCCTCCCATGCGAGCTGTACGATGCATGTCCGGCATTAACGATGAAATATCGTCCGCCGATGCGCCGCGCGGCACACCTCCTATTATCGAATTCAGCCGCCCACATAAGGAATTCCGATACTTTCGCGTACACATGTATCCGTGCGTGTGCACGGAGGTATATGTGTGGTACGTATAAACACGAAATAAAATAAACCATCAGCTTCTCCCGAGAGCTCGCACGAGAGCATCTCGTGACCTCGCAAGATTCGTTTAGCCTTTTGCAATAAGCTGGAGAAAAACCTGGACGACCGTCCGACTAATAAAAGGGAAAAAAAATAAAATAAACGGAGAGAAAATAAAGAAAGCTATTCGCGACTTCAATTTCGCGCAAAACAGACATGAAAAACGTCGGCTTTTGCTCTTGACAGTTGTAACGTTTTTCTTTTTTTCCTTTTCACATCGAGTCCTCGATCAAGTGTAAAGAGCGGTGTCAAACTGAGATACTTGGGAACCGCTGTTCTCAGAGACCGATTCGAGAGACCGATGTCCGCGCGAGTATTTGCTGGTGAGAAACGAGACCGCGGAAGAGGGAAACAGAAAGATAGATAGAGAGAGAGAGAGAAAGAGAGAGAGAGAGAGAGAGAGGGGGAGTAGAGTTTATTTTCACATTTAGAGTGGCAGAGTCCGCTTGTACAAAACTAGAAACGTATTGAATCGTGACATATTGAATAATATATTGAGTAAAGAATCAAGATGAACTTATTTGTCTAAGAACGTGTTTTAATCACAAAAACAATAATATGATCGGGAAACTGAAAGTAGGAGGAAAAGGGTGCGCAGTGAAAAAACATATTAAGATGACTAAAATAAACGCGTATAGTGCAGATTATTCGCCGAATCAATGTAAAAGAAACACATGATGAACGCATAATGTACATAAAATGAAATGCAAGTATTACGCTCGAAATGCACATATAGATGCATGTATTAAACAAGAAAAATGCTAAAGAGATACTAAAGATATGCAAAAAGATGCAAGAAAGAAAGAAAGAAAGAAAGAGAGAGAGGGAGGAGGAGGTCGAAGTGAGAGAGGGAGGAGAATTCCCCACTCGTAGTCTGAATGGAAATTCAACAAGTGTCGAGGAGACGAGGGCTCGAGGGAACGGCTCGAGCTTCCGCCGTAACTTTCCATACGAGCGAGTATAGTCGCGCAGAAAAGGGGTAAAGCTAACACGAGAATTAACCGCCGGTACTAACGCTCAAAGCGATACCGTTCGCGCAGAGCCGCAATTTGTCTTAATAATTACGTCTGCGAAGCGTCGCCTCCCACACCGCGGTATAATTATTGTGTAATTACCACGCGGATCTGCGTCGGGAGGCTTTTAAGTTAATCAGGTAAAGATTGTTGCGCATAGAGTGTACAGAGTATACTGCGAGAGATACAGAGAGAGAGAGAGAGAGAGAGAGAGAGAGAGAGAGAGAAGAGAAAAGAAGCAAGGAAGAGGAGAGAAAACATCAACGACCGCGGTCATGAAATTTCATTCTCAACAGCGTCTCGTATTCTGCTACGCAAATTTGCAATGAGAGAGAGACACTATTGTCTTTCCTTCTATGACAAATTTATGTTCATACTGTGAAAAAAGTACGTGATAAGGACATATATATAAGTGACAATTGTACAAGTTTTATATGTAGAATCAATGCATATAATTTGATAAATTATTTTTTGTAGTTATATATTGCAATTAAAGCTGAATGACTACAACTATAGTTCTCCTAACCATTCAGCTTTAGTTGCAACAATCAGAAAATGTTTTATTAAACTATGTACAATTTATTAAACTACGCTGGTTCTATTTGAAACTCGTATAGTTACCCCTCTTATATAGCTACCATCATATATATTTTTTTTGAGTATATGACAACCGCTGATTCCCAAGATTTTACTCGTGAGCACGATTATTCATATACGTCCGTCGACATATTTTCGTGAACTTAGGTTGATTTTTGATTTGATAGCTATTTGATACCTGAAATCCCCCAAACGTGCCTGGAAGGCTTCCTTGCTGACCACGTCGTATGCCTGCGTCTTGCTCTCATCTCTAGGCACGGAGACCAGAGGCCAGGTGCTCATATTGTGAAGGTCCTGATCCGTTATGGAGAATCTCTGAGTCAAGTTTGACCTGTTTACATGTCATAGAACAGATTAATGGAGAAGGAAACAGAGACAGAGATGGATGGATTCGTCAAGATAGGATTACGCGCACGATAACGCGTTGAGAAATTGCAGAGTGTGTCGCTAACAAAATCTGAAGCAAGACCGCTTCTTCTTTTTTTTTTAAGTCACTAAAGTCTTTCAATAGATACTCACGGTTATTTCCGGCTGTTTCATGAAGCGTTTGTTATGCGGAAACACGTCGCATTCGCGCATTGCGTCCCAATAGAAAGAATCGGGAGACCATTCGTTTTCATCACGCGAAATGCGACCGGAGAGTTACGCTCGATCGAGGAAAAAAACGCATTACATCGCTCGAGCACGATCACGTGGTCGGATCAACGGGATTTTAAAACGCTTCGATAGAGCGATAATTGAACGCGCGGTGAGTATCTGAGAAATAAAAATAACATAAAAAAATAACAACAAGAATAAAAGCAGATTAAATTGGTATCACCGTATCACCGAGTTTCATCGATCCAACTTCGTTATCGACGTTGAAAGATCTGACTTCGTTATCGTTGTTTGTACTCTTTGAATTCCCTACAATAATTCAGAGTGGAAGAATTCACTCTGTGCGTGTGAAAAGTCATTCGTGTAACTCGGCTGTGCTTGTCGAGTGGAATTCCATAGGAAGAAATTAAGAGGATAAGAAGGAAGCCATACCTTAGAGTGTTGCCGTTGGTGTAAATGAAGAAGGCCACCTCGGATCGCTCCAGCTGCATCCTGGTGACTATCTTGCCGAGATCCGTGGCTATCGTAACCTGCAATCACCAGGATGACGACGTTGTTAATCTCTCCGTAAGCAGAGGCAAAATGGAAATCGATCCAAGTCCGGTTTAACGAGACACACACCGTTTGTCCGGCTATACGAGCAACGCCTTGCCTCGTGATCTCGCCTAGCGCCGATCATCCTGCGAGCCCTTTTGTCTCTACAAGGTAAGTAGTCGCTCGAATTACCTTGGACAGGAATAATAGCCGGTGTACTCTGTCGGAATTTCCACCAGGAGACAAGGACTAATTGTGAGGCACGGAAAGCATCAGAGTGTGGACAGCTTCGAGTGCAGACCGAGCATTCGTTCGGAGTAAACACGGAGTGATCACTCGAGACATCCGAGTATCTAAATGGCTGTGGCCATCCTTGAAACTCGTTCAATCGTTTCGCTCGGAAAGCAGGACGAACGACAAGGAGCATTTCTAGCCGACCCGCTTTCTCCAATCTGTTTGCGCTTCTCCAAGGGCGATCCGAGGTTTCTCACAAAACTCGAGAAATCCCACGATGAATTTTTTTCTTCGGGTTCTAGATCTAAATGTAAACCAGCGTTCCTACCAAATTCCATCGTGATTTTTGCTATTAAATTCTCTCTGTGTAAAAGCCGAAACGCGTCTTGGAGAGAACTGCAAAGGGTTAATCTGAACCGTCTGAAAAATTGGCGGGGCAACATCCAATTCCCGAATTCCTCGCTTGTCGTCATCGGGAGATCTCGTAAAATTTAAGAACGCGCTTGACCGCCCTTGTTTCCATTTCCGATCCGCTAGCTCGCGACGCGAGCAATTAATATTACATTAATGATAGTCGGCGACGAGATCGCCTTACGATCCTCGGTGTTCTCTTCAAGATAATTAGAGCAGCCGTGAAACTGCGCGACGATCGCAATTACGTATTCCGTCGGGGCGCGTCGAGCTCCCGCTTCAACAGAAGCGCCCACTCGCCGAAAGTCACCGTTACCGTGGAGATTTTGTACCCTACGGTTAAACGGGAAAACGCAAAAGCGCCCGTACACACTTCTCACCTGCATCGCGAACCATCACGAAACTATAATAGAAAGTTCCTCGCTCGGAGCAAAGCTCTCTCGGCTAACAAAGCGCTCGTATACAACAACGAAATAATCCGCCTCCGAGGCTTGAGCAGCGTGAACTTTTTAAGCTGGGTGAGCTTGCATCCGAGCGTTTCTGGAGCCAGATTTGAAGTCGTACACCGGCTATCGTCGTCGTCACGGCAAAGTTGCCAGAAGGATCGGACGGATAAGACCAGGACGAGCTTACGTTCGATTCAAGCTTCCAGGCGAAGCGCGTTCTAATGTCAGGAGGATGGTTAAATGTTTGAAGAACATGAATAACGTTAATATTATGATATGGAGAAGGTGGAATATACAGGTAATGGTGCTCTCGAGCATGGTCGCCGAAGGTCACGCGGCCTTGGAAACAATAACATACTTGTGTACACAATCGTCGAGTAATCATAACGGTTCTTGATGCGAGGGTAAACGGATCGAGACACGTCGCGAATGATTATCGATTTTTCCAAATCGATCACAAAGTGTGCGTGAGACGCGTTCAAGATATTTTGTGTGCACGATTATGATATCAAACAAAGAAAAGTACATACTGTATTCAAGTATTTACATACTCGAAAATCTATTTTAAGTTCATCATGAGCAGCAAATTTATTCAAAATATATCCCAAATTCTACTAAGTGTAGCGCTTCAATCGAGAATATCAAATTAAAAGAAAAATTTGGTTTGCTTGTTAGACACAGAGAACCCATATTTTAATAAAAAAAATAGATACTTCTTTTGAGTACACGATAAAGAGTTTTTTTTTTAATTTGTGACGAATACATTTTACTGAGTCTATTATCAAGAAAATATCGTATGTTGAAAATAACCATTACTTGAAATTACTTGAAAATGAAGGGAAACAAATCGAAAAAGTGCTTTTCTTAGTAGAGAGAGAAAATAATATTTTTCTGTGTGTAGAGTCGTTCTTGAGAAGTAGCAGCATTCTCGGATCTCGAGGATAACTGTCACGTTTATTTTTACTCATTTAACGCATGCGAAAAAATGATCGATTGCATCAACGTGGCAATGACATGAAACGTGTTTTGAGTGAAGGAAACAGAACTTCTGATTTTCAAGGATTCAAGAACGAGTTTGGTTCGCGAGAACCATAAATCCCGTTTTCCTCTTCCAAAATGCATTTACTTGTGTCACTGTCGTGCTAATTTAACAATATATATTTTTTTCCGTATAGAGGAATACACTGCCTTGAATCTCTGCATTTTCTATACGTCGACATCTATCGATACAACTAGTCAGAAACTTGTTTTTCCTTTCGGATTTGGCGAGATTCGTGTCCACACGAGTGCGTGCGGTTCCCAGGGAGAAATTTTCATTGAGTGCGGTCGAAGTGGAGGATTCGGTCGGAGCGGGATCGCGCTCGGGATTCGGCGATAGGTTTCCAGACTTGCCGTGTTCTTGGCCGAGCTTCACCGCCAAAAGAACAAGAAAATTTCCAAGCTTCCTCGCGGTGTGCTAAATTGCAGAGGGTGTGTCGAGCAGAGCAGGGTGCATCGACGTATGCGAAACACTCGCACTGGTCTACGAGCGAGAACGACCACGAACAAACATCCGACATCGACGACAATGGCATCCATTCTCTCGACGCTCGTCAAACAGTAACTCGAGATCGAAGACCGCGTTCCAGCGTTACACCCCGTCGCGATGAATTTCGATTTGATCCACCCTTCTACCCCCGGTGAGCATTGCGTTCTAATACCCTTGTCAGATGGGGGAGGCCGGTTGTTAGGCAGAGCATGGAAATTTTCTCACCGCCAAAGGCACGAGGGACGAGCGACGCGATAATAATTTACATCCGAGACGAAAGCCATGCACGATTCAAAATTGACCTTGACAAACTTTGTGAACTCTCGAAGTGACGTGAATTAAGGAAGCGGCGGCGCGTTGTTGAATTATGGGGTGAGAATTAGCACGGTTTACACAATCGCGAACATCTCTATTCGCGTTGTTCGCACTTTCCCGCAGAGAACGAAACGAAATAATGCCCCCACGTGTCTTACTTTCACATATCTCCTAATAATTGTTAGTAAAAAGAAGAGGGGAGTTTCTGAGAAATTCACGAAATCCATTGTGCAGTTTCCTAAAACGAAATTCCCTTGGCGAGAGAAACTAAACACAAGTTATGATATTTTTGTTTCAATAAAACAACGTTCACGCGTTCTATTCTCACGTAACTTATAATAACAGTCAGGAAAAAAAAGAGAGAGATGTTCTAACATTCACGAAATTCGTTGCACAGTTTGCCGAAACAAAGTTTCCCTACCAAGGAAAGCTAAACACCTGTTACGTCACTTTTGTTCGCATCAAAACAATAACTTATGTACGTTCTATTTTCACTTATCACTCAACAGTCGTTAGTAAGAAAAAGAGGGGAACTTCGGAAATTCACGAAATCTGTTGTGCAATTTCCTGAAACGAGCGTTTCCTCTCTGCCAGGGGAGGCTAACCACCAGTTACGTCACTGTTCCCCCTCGCATCGTTTTCTTATTTTATTTCATCATCCCCTGCACACGCGCGCGCTCGTCTCGAAGTAGCAAAGGGCGACGGCGACGTGCATACGAGTCGATAATCCGAACGTGCGTGAGAGAATAAAATAAAAATAGCCGGCTCGTCGCGCGAACGGCCATAACGTAATTTCTTTTCCCGGCCGGACGCTGCCGATGCTGCCACTGCGTCGATCGGAAATCGAATCGAACCGCGAACCCCCCTCCTCCTCCTCCTCCTCCTCCTCCTCCTCCTGTTCTTCCTCGTTCCCAAATTTCACATGTGAGTCTAGAGCCGGGAGGAAAGGAGGGATTTCTCGCGCATGAAACGGTAATGTTTGTTCAGTTAACAACGACTTCGCGAAATGAAACAGATGGATGAAAACGCGGTTTATGGTAGTATATGGTACACGAATAGGTAAATAATGTTTCGCGGGTAAATAACGTTTGATGTTTTTGGCTTGTTGCGTTTTGCGAGTTGGAGCGAGTTGGATTCTACTTTCGTGAGGTCGGTCGATCTCGCGAAATACTCTCCGCTCGGAGCCGCGTCGCGTCGCCGAAGACACCTGGCGATTTCCAACGAGCACCCGACGTTTTCATTAACAATGGCCTCGCGCAACACCAGCTGTAGCCTCAGTCGCACTACAGATGCGCGAGTTGACGTCATCGGACAAAACTGTACGAATTGGAAATGCACGATGCATATATGTCGTTCACGTTCAAGGCTCTCACCGATGTTCTCATGTATTATCTAACGTGGTAATCACCGCGGCATTTCAAGATGACGACATTGTCGTTGTTGTCGTGGACAGAAATCGGTCGGCATTTTCTCACAGCCGGTGCGTGTCTTCGGCGACGCGACGCGGCTCCGAGCGGAGAGTATTTCGCGAGATCGACCGACCTCACGAAAGTAGAATCCAACTCGCTCCAACTCGCAAAACGCAACAAGCCAAAAACATCAAACGTTATTTACCCGCGAAACATTATTTACCTATTCGTGTACCATATACTACCATAAACCGCGTTTTCATCCATCTGTTTCATTTCGCGAAGTCGTTAACTGAACAAACATTACCGTTTCATGCGCGAGAAATCCCTCCTTTCCTCCCGGCTCTAGACTCACATGTGAAATTTGGGAACGAGGAAGAACAGGAGGAGGAGGAGGAGGAGGAGGAGGAGGAGGGGGGTTCGCGGAAATTAATCGTTCGGGCACTCGCTCGCAGTTTAAGTAGAAGCGTCTCGATTATGGCGCGACGCGCTCTATTCGGAGACGGGCAGGCGTAGGTGCGGTGTATTTGCTCATCCCTCTCTCGTTACCTTCGTGTACGAACCGCCGACGATCGATCACCCCTCCGGCTGAATTATACCAGCCCAGCCTAATTGCACTCTTTACATAATTATCAGGGCGCAACGCACGCCCGTGTGCGCGAGCGTGTGCACGTGTGTAACTTCGGGCAACCCTCCGAACTACTTCGTAAAACCGAAGTTTCCGAAATGAGATTCACGGAGGACGCTATCTATCAGGCCTTCATTCCCCCCGTCGCTGTCGCCCGACGAATCACTTCGACGCACTATATTCTTCCGAGGAACTCTCGCGCGGACTCGAAGCTACTTCGCGCTGAAGATCGTTTCGGGCGGCGTCCTTCGTCAAGGTAAACGCCCCGACACAGTGTTGGGTAGTGACGAATTGAAACTTTCTTTGTTTAAAATGATCGGCAAATTAGTATTCAAGACCTTAATGAACCGACGTATATGTAATTGCGAATAATTTAGTCGTTTCATGTGAAATAAATTATAAATCAGGATATAATTCATCACATGAGAGTCGAATTAATAATTAATATCATCAATAAATAAAATTATTTGCGATTCTGTACATCACGAATGATTAAATTTGATTAGTAATTTATCGGTTGTTTTAGTCAAAGATAAGCTTAATTATTTAATGCCCAACACGCAACAACGCAGGGCCAGGATTGCTTAAGTCTGACACTCTCTAAATTTCTTGGAGTGAAACGTATGTAAAAAATCATTCGAGTGACTCGGTGACCGCTCCATTTTTCGAGCGAAACTTCACTCCGAGAGATTTGAAGAGCAAGGATGCAGATCCAATAATCGTGTCGTACAATCAATTGGGTGCTCAAGCATGAGAGTTTATGTCAACAAACAAAAAACACGGAGAATTTCTGACTTGTCTCATATATGTTTACACGCAGAGTGAACTTTTACGCTTGAGCTTTCAATTATTACAGAATATATCGACCAAAGCTCACCTGTGACTCTATGTCGGATACCTCCTGGCGATAGATCAGGATGTCGTGAAGGGTATTGGCGGTCTGCACGATCAGGGCAAGGATCGGTATGAAGGGCAGCACCAGCATCTGCAACAGCTGGATTCGCCGGCCGCGACGGTGGGCCGGGTCGGTCGCGCGAGCCCAGCACGATTTCTTCCGGTTCGCCTTAGTCGCCGAGACGTCATCCGATGAGAGGCTCCTCACGGAACTCACCTCCGCCACGCAAGAGCCGTTGCGCGGCGACATGCTGGAAGGACACGCCGTGGAAATGAGACGTATTAGTATCAGTCTGTCGTTTTCTCTCCGAGTCGCGCGGCGGCTTATCGGAAAAAGCCGAAGGGCACTTTGTTTACCCGATAGGTGCGCGCTGTGCGCAGGGTGTCTCGAGAATCCTGACTTATTGCAGAACGAAATGAAACAGGAAATTCGCCGTGACGCTCTCTCAGAGCCCCGAAAAATTCGCGTGATCCCGCGAATACGAGAGCCCAAGCGCTCGGATCTTGGAGAATCGAAGAATCCGAAGACCGACGCTCCAAGAATTTCATTTGACACAATTCGCTCGCACACATGCGCTTGCATACAACACATATAGAAATATATACACACACATGCGTATACACAGGCGAATCGACGGATTTACAAGCAACGCTTCGATATAACGCTCGCATAATCTCGGAATTCAACTTCTGCGAGAGAAAGAGAGAGAGAGGAATTCGATTAAAAATCTATCATCAAGCCGATTGTGGCACGGTGGATTGTTCGACGAGAGGCAAGCTTTTATCTCCGACTTGTCGACGACACGTCGCCTCGCATGTCCGAGCACTTTCGCAATAATAATGACAAGCTGCCGGATATAACAAGCCCGCGGAGCCCTGTAATTAAACGCGACGAGCGTGGAGATGCTTTACTGCTCGAGCACGTCGCGCGACGGAGAGGGTGCGTCGATTGTTCGGGGGCATCTCTCGCAATTGCGGGTATAAAAAAGTGTAATTGCAGTCTGATTGCAGGGTACAAATACGCGAGCCTGTTTAGTTTAGCATGATCTTTTTTAATCTATAGTTATCTTTTCTCTTCAATCCACACCGCGGATTATCCCCTGCCTAGAATTCTCGATTCCGCTCTCGACTCGAGAGACGTCTTCCGTGTTCTCGCAAATGCAACGAGAGGGAGTGCCGATTCCATGGTCGGGAGGGTTCTCGAGGAGGGTGGTGAGATGAAAAAAATCGCGCTTTCGCGACCGTGCTCCGTTTCTCTCGTCTCGTTATCCGCGGAATTCACGCGAGACGAGGAGGAAAGAAAGTTAAGCGATCGCGCGCATAATAAAGCCTGTGGTGTGTCTTTGACTCTCTGTCGTGTCTTTGATGTCGATCTCAAGGCGGGCTGAAGTCAAAAGCTGATCAAGCCGCAGCATTCGCGACCGTTGAATAGCATCTGATTGTGCGATTGCGCGAGCGCCCTATACATCAAGACGGAAAAATTAATAACCGGCCGATATTCTTCCACCGCTCTCGTCAACGTGGGTCGACGTGGAGGAAACTTCCGAAATTGGTGCGGCGGTATTAATTTCGCGTCGGGGTGGAAAAAAGGCGCCTAATGTCTGAGAAACTGATCGATAAGCCATATACTGCACACCCTTTTTTTCACTTCTAGGTAAGTCTTCTTGACTTCGACAATCTATAAAAGATTTGATCTGTTCCTTGTTCTCATTCCGTTGTCCTCTTATCGTTTCGTATACTGCCCCGTGTAAATTTCCAAATTACAAAGATATGAAAGGACGAAAGAGCCAATAGTGCGGATATTAAAATTCAAATTTCCAGCTTGTTCAGCTATCAATTTCTCTGGATACTCGGATTTTTGTATCTTAGTTCTCTGCACGCGGTTATTCGTGACTACAAATAAATTAGCTAAAGACAAATGGAAGTTGGCTACTTGTAGTTACTTGTTGCAAAAGAATTGCAACATTGACACAAAGATATGCATTTAACCTACTTTAACCTTGATTGTAATTCATTTTCAATCTTTATATTTCTTTCTTTCTGATATATTCATAAGAGATAAAAGCAAAGGCTTTTTAATTTACCGCATTTGAGTATGATGCAGTATTGAGTGCAGAGAGCTAAAGACCACGGCTGCGTGTCTCTCTTTCCCTTCTTTCTCTCTTCTCTCGGTTATCTCAAAAATTCCGGAATATACCGTGAAGCCTGGGGCGAATCCGCGTCGTTTGCCGCAGTCTCAGGAATGTCCCTCGAGTCACCCCGATAACCGACCCCAGGCCACGAGAATTGTTCGCCACAATGTGCACCGCCCTCTATACCCTTCGCCACTGTGCGTAGTAACATGATAATAAACTGGCACTACAACGTCATCGATGCATAATCTAATGGCGCGTCGCCGCCGCCGCCGCCACCACCCCCGCCCGCGAAGGCAAGAGAAGGGTGGTCGGCCACCCGGCTGTGCAGGCAGTTAATTGCAGCAGCGGCGTCTTCGTCTACTATGCCCTCGCATTGCGTTACATTGCGTTATCGCCGGTGATGTCAACCTCCTGCCGAAACTTATAGCAACTTTTATCGATCAGACGAAATCGAAAATGTATAAGATAAAAATAGAAGATGCATTATTCTCCACGCTCCGCGAGATTCCCCATAGTCACTCTCTTTGGGGTGGATGAATTATGAAGTCGTTGGCCCCAAAACAAGTTCTTTCTTGCTAGATCAGTTTGGAGCAACACCTCTATACGATTTTCTTTATTCCCTTTCGGTAAAATCGGCGAAACTTGTCTCGCAGATTTAAGCTGGCTAAAATGATTCGTGGCAAGAACTGAGATAATATCTACACTCTTTATACGCGATAATTTTCTTTTTCCTTTTTAGACAAAATTTCTCCTGCTAATCTCAATTAGCTCGAAGTGTGAAATAATTTACTGCAATTACTGAAATCTATAAAATTATCCGGCAAGCTTGGCAAGCTACGGAATCCAACCATTTCTGCTTTCATGCATACTTTTTAATGACTCGCTTAACGATAGAACGATATCTTGTTTAGGGATCGCAAACACGTGGATCCCGCATGTGTGAGTGAGCGAGTGAGCGAATCGATGCGTCTGGCGCATCTGTGCACGGGGCTCGAAACTGCTATAAATGTGTCTCGAATTTCGCGGCGACCGTCGTTCGAATATCGTGGGAACATCCTCGACGATGCGAGAGATGCATTCGCGTCGTTAATGAGTCGAGTAACCGGAGATCCAGGAATTTGCGGGAAGAAAAACCGGGAGGAAGAAAAGAGAGGAAGTGAAAAGATCCCGGAGAGTCAGGATGAGAATTGAAAATCTGAGGATCCGCGGAGGATCCGGACGAGTATCCGCGAGTCCTTCTTCTCGTATCACGCAAAATATCCGCGATATTCTTCTTGCGATGCCTCCAAAAATCTGAACAATTAGGACTCGTATTTGCTTCGCTAAATGGATCGAGAGGCACGACACGAATCAAATGCAAAAGTTCCAAATTTCCGGGACACCCTGTGCGCACGACAATCTGGGACAAAATGTCACACGATATGGGCGACAGAATAAACTCGCTGTCGAAGAGAAGACGGACCAATGTGATGCGATTACAAAGCGAATATTTTTGATCATTCATTCAGCTCGTTCGTGCGTGTTTCAGCGACACGCTGTATTTCTAACTTTATTGAAACGCATTCCGAGCGAAAATTCGAATTGCTGAAATTTACTAAATAAATAAGTTATGAAAATGAAATATGTGCAAAAGGTTGTCATGCAGAGCTTCAAATTAATATATTAACGCATTCTACATCGCAATTTGACGTAAAATCGGGACACGCACATGCGCGCGCATACACAAACACACACACATGTGCAAACTTCAATGAGAATAAAATAAATATGCGATCAAAGCAGCTTTGAACGCAAAAACATGAGTATTTTGATGAATTTTGTGTATGCGTAATAAAAATACACGTTTAAATGCATATTTAATATATGATATATATTTTATATATATATATATATATATATAATATATATTATATATTCACACAGAGGGCGCCAGAGATTAGATGCATTACATTATAAAAAGTTAATACAGAACCAACGATTAAGGATTAAGTTCTCGTATTTTACATTATTGCCTGATTAGTATAATTTTCCTCCCGAATCGAAAGGCGTTTTCTGTTAACCGCCGATATCGCGTGTATCTCGAAATATCACCACGGAATCGGAGGCTATCATTAAAACGATCACGGGCGACCCTTTCCGCATGTGAAGCTTATCGCGAGCAATAACGACTCGCCACGATCCGCAAAGCTGTTCGACAATGCAAATCGCCGTAAAGCTGTCGGAAGCTGCTTTTCGATATTGAGTGGCTGGGATTAGCGTTAGGAAACTGAAAACAGCCTAGTTGTCGCTGTCCATACGCGCTGCAAAATCATATCCTCCCGTGATAGAGGCGAAATCTCGAGCTCGTTTGTCGCGTAACGTGTGTATGTGTGTGTGTGTGTGTATGTAGCGCCTCGTTCACAGGGAGGATTAATTAACCCCCTCCCGCGCGCATGGAATTATTCGCACTATCGCTGAAGGTTGTTTTATCGGAAAATCCTACACGACTCCCTTCCTCGCGCATACGGAAATTAATTGCTACGCGTGTAGTTCATCCACGCATGCATGCACAGCTCAGCGAACTAACTTCGACGCAGGTAGTGTAATGCTTACAATTTAACAACGGTATTGCGGTTCGCGGCTTGATTGTGGCTGTAAAAACCTAAGCTACTCGCCAAACTCGCCGTGCACTTTAAGTGTTGTTCGCGATACTAAGCTCCGCTCTGCAAAGCCACGATATAGAATAGGTTTTGTTCTAGCGGTCTAAGGACACAGGAAGCCTTCGATCAGCTCAACGTTGTGGTCTCTCCTCGACGAAGAGGTAGGAGAGACCCCGGGGCAGGTTAGCGAGGCGTTCATCATGTATTTATGTGAGAGAAGCGATAGAAAAAAAATTACGAAACGCTTCCTTCTGAGTTCAAGGTAGCTGCTGCTGTCCCTTGAATTTTATTTAACATCGAATAAATGTCTTTCTTCTGCTTTCCGCTAGTCGCGAGTCTTTGTGGGATAGAAATGAAAATTTCATTGAACATTTTATTAATTAAAAGGAAAGAACGACACTCTAAAAAAATAGTTTTGTATCATTCTCCGCAATTTTAGATAGTTATTCTTGACCGGAAGATAGGAAAAATATAACG